GCTTATAAATTATACATCTTTATCTCACTGCACAACCAGCATTTTCCCCACTCCCCTCTTGATTTAACATGCTTCTTCACATTGACTTGTTGGGGCTAATTTGCCAGTGCTCTGTGTTTACCATGTAAGCCTCCTTGAGCGTTACTACTTTATTCATTCATCCAAGCTCATGGAAAGACCATCAACTACAGGAAGATCCAAAGAAGACTAAAGACTGTTAATGAAAGGTATGTAAAACATGAAAATCACATGGAATTGCATGTAACATTTCTAATCATGAATTCAAGCTTACTGTATAAATCTTAATAGGAACTGTAAACTCATATATAATTATCTTTGGTATAAAACTCCTTTATTCTGACTCTCAATTCCATTGAAATCCACTTTAAAATCTCTTTTTTAAAAACACACATGTGTAAATTTTCTAGATTCTCAAGATTTTCCTGTATTTGCCAAATGTTTCTAATGTTCATCATGGGATCTGGATATCATTATGTATTTAGGACAAAGGGTTTACATGTGTTTTTCTCATAATCTCTTTGCTTTTGCTCACTAACAGAGTGTTTCTCTAACACAACTCATTGAACAAAGTGGTCCTTTATTCTCTGGTAGATGGAACTGAGAGAGAGAATGGGCAACAGGGCTACACTTGTGGCAGAAGAGAGAAAAAGAACACACAAAGCAATTTTTGCTTAATAAAACGCCAATGCCATTTTATATGAAGAACAGATCGTCGCATTCCAGAGAAACTGTATTTCTACAGGGCACTGCCAGTGAAGAAAACATCTCAGACCTCACATTCAGCGGTAAGTGCTACAAAAACAGAAATTGAAGATAGTATTTTTATTATGGTTCACAGTGTTTATACTAGGTTGTATAGTGCCTGGAATTTATCATACACCTATTAATTACAACATACAACTACTGCTAGCAATGTTTTGGATTGATGTTTGCAGGTTTAAATATGTTGAAACTTACAAATGAAGTAGTAAGAAAGGCTGATAACTCAAAACCCAAATGTGCTGATAAAGCCACACTTTTAAAATGAAAGTTTTGAGATGAGCTAGCCATGCAAATTAGCCCTGTAAATGGAAGCTACGCCATGCCTTTACAAGGTCCTGTTACAGCAAGTGCAAGATGCTTTTGCCAAAGAAATTCTTGGTAGTTTGAGCAAACTGAAGGGATTCTGAAAAAGGGGAGGTCTTCTGACTGGGTGGCCTGAGTTACTGATGTTAAAGCTGGAATCACTTTAGGAATAGTTTTTCTAAAATGTGTACCTTAACTGTAACAATTTGGCTAATGTATCAACTATATGTCTGGAAAGATGTAGAACAGCCTTTTAAATGACTAAAACTATGCTAACTACCACACAGAAATTCTAATTTCATTCACTAATCCCACACACTATAAACATTTGAGAATTACTTGATTACTAAATAACAAAGTCTTTAATGGGTAGTGCTTCCACATAGACACTGATCTAAACTAATTTCACTTAGTTTGCTCTTATTTTCTTATGTACAACAATCTGAGAAAAGCTTGTGTTCCACTTCAACTTTCCCCACATACTATTTCTTGTGACTGTTCCCTAAACCTCTGACATTACAAATTCCACTTGTTTTCATTTACACAAGTAAAAAAAATAAATGACATTTTAAAAAGTGTTCAAACAGCACTGAGCTTGGCAACCACGTTGCAGGAGTCCAGGCTGATGCCTCTCCCTTCCCTGTGGTTCTGCTAAAAGCCCCACCTAGCCAACAACAGATGTAATTTCATAAGGCAAGCTTTGCTTAATCCTGGACTCCCTCACAGGCTCCAGCAACTCCAAGTTGCCTTACTTGGGATGACAAACAGAAGTAGCCTCATTTCTATTCAACCTGACTCCCAGAAGATTCAATCATTTTAAAGGGAATTGTGTCCACGCTCATAAACGTATATTTTTGGTATTACATTACTGCAAGTGTTCTGGCTTTTGTTAATGTAGCCTGACCCTCCATCTGTAACGTGACTGAAAAAATTCCTCTTCAATACCATGAGTTTAAAAAAAGTGCCAGCCTAAGCAGCAAAGCTGGTGTGTGTTTATGGTCAGAAACGTGCATATGTAAAAATGGCACTTTCTTACACAGCACCTCTGTTCTCTGAGTATTCAAAATTATACAGTCTGATTTTAGTGACAACTTTACTCCCTTTAATTTCTTGTTAGTTTTGCAGAACTGTCATAGTTATGGAAAAGTGATTGGATTTTATTCTGGTTTGTCCATCAACAGAACTTTTCACTAAGGTCCCAATTCAGGAAAGCGTCCCTTTTAGGGCAACACATGCTTGAATTTATGCTAATGGAATTTAAGCAAGTGTGGAAGTGCTCTCCTGAATAGGGAGAGAGTTAGGCATAGGTCCCAAGAAAGCACTTAAACCTAACATCAAACTATAGATTCTTTATTATTGTGGATGCTGAGCAAACCAAAGTGCAGAGGTTTGATTTTCAGATCTTTAGCTGAACTGGCAGAGCTGGTGAGTTAGAAAAAGCATAATTTTACTTGTGAAATGAGCAAATTTGATGTGAAAGTTATTAAGACACAAATGTGAAACCCCACAATCATTTTTACAGGATCATTTCATACTTCAACGGCACTGCAATAATATTTTTTTTAAAAGGTTTGTATTTAACTAACCTCATTAAGATATTTTATAAAAAGGGTATAAAATAATCAGTATCAACTCCAGCTACAGAATGCCTCCAAAATGGTTTCACTCTTTTGGGTACAAATGCCCTCTTCCCTCCACTCAACCTCCCTCCCCTGTAAAAGTAAGTATTTAATCAGTTAAATACATAATTGGTTTTCACAACACATACACTTTGGTACACAACAGGCTCCCATGTGTAAATATATATTTTTAGTTCATGACTCATTCATATAATAGTACAAATGAAGCTTTTTAAAAACAAAGTCTCTCATCCCAAGAAGTGCCCAACTCAGCAAGACAAAAAATAAGGCTGTCGCACCAGACATTTTCAATGCTTTTTTCTTTTTCTCTTTTTTTTAAAAGCTGACAGCACATATTAGCTTCTCCTACTACATCCCTGGAGAACACTATGCATTGAAAAGGAAAAAAAAAGAGAAACAGATTCTTCTTAAATGAAAGCCTATTACTCAGTGAATGGACTATACTGTTTTTAGAACTGTTTGGTTTTTAATTGTAGGCTTTTGTCCACAGATGATGTAGCTAATCTGTTAATCAGGCTAATGTACATTAACTCCACCTGTAAAAATAATTATTTTTTTTGTTGAATCATCTCTCTCCAGATGAACGTGCATAGTTATAATCCCATCTCCACCTCAGTAGCTAGATTTCCCCCCCTAAAAATATCTAAGGGAGTCTTCTGGCCTTCTTACTCACATTGGGACTGATCCTGTACTACTGAAGTCAATATGAGCCTTGCCACAGACTTCCGTGAGCACAGGGTCAAGCCATATTAATTTAGATGGGATAAGCCACAGATTATGGTACAGTTGGTATAAAGGTGGCAGAATCTAGGCTAAAGGTTGTATCAGAGATAAGGTGGGTGAGGTAATATCTTTTATTCGACCAACTTCTGTTGGTGAGAGAGACAAGCTTCTGATTTTACAGAGAGCTCTTTTTCAGGCCTGGGAAAAGTACTGAGTGTGTCACACTGACAAACTCAGTACCTTTCCTAGACCTGAAGAAGAGCTCTGTGCAGCTCAAAAGCTTGTCTCTCTTACCAACAGAAGTTGGTCCAATAAAAGACGTTACCGCACCCACCTTGTCTAATATCCTGACACCGCCACAGCCACAACACTGCATACAATAAAGGTTATATTGTAAATTAACCCCAGGTTTTTTCTCCCAGTCTTAGTGATCTAGGGTTGCCAGTTGTAGTTGGACATATTCCTTGAGGACTCATCACATGACATAATCTTTAATTAAATATTAATCCTTCATTCCTGGAGATTCCAGACAATTCTGGAGGGTTGGCAACCCTATAGTGATCGGAGATGAATAAATTAAAAAGTCACTAAGAAAACTGATCTTTTTTCTTATTATGATAAAAACAATTGTAAACGATAATATTAAAATGACTGGGGGGAAATGTTTGTTTTTCGGCCAGACACTTTATTTGGACATCAAGCTTCAATTTTAGGGAAAGATTTTTAAGGCAGAGACTTAGGGCATGATCTTGCAAGGTGCTGAGAAGCCTCAGCTCCCAAAGTCACCAGGCACTCAGCACCTAAAACTAGATTTAACAAAGAGTTACTGACTGGAATCCCTTCATGTCACAGAAATACCACAGATCCAACAGTGACAGACGTTCTATAGAACCTAAGACTGACAGGTCAGTTGAATGGCAGTGCAATCATTATTTGTTTGTGCTGACAATCATAAAACTGCTGCTAAAATCCTTCATGTGCTCTGAGGACCATGTTTCTGGAACTAAAGAGAAAATTCAGAAAAGGGTTACACAAATGAGAGCCTAATTGTAAATATATTTTAAATGAAGCTGACCCTCTTTGCTCCTCCCCAAAAATGTGTAATTCAGTGATAGTATTATTAGACACAAGAGTGGTTGCTATTTTTAAACAAGAACATTTTAGAACGAATAGAAAATGTTATCATGTTATAAAATGTTATTTTTATTTTAAAAAAATCAATTAACAGCTATATGCCAATTCCTATTACACAATTAAGGTCAAGTACTTGAAGAGTAAAATATATTGTCCCCCACTATGTTTGCCAAATTCTATAATTTTATATACAGCATTCACTTTGCCTAATAAGCCAAAAATCTGGATGCTACCATTAAACATAACTTTGGTGGAGCAAGTTTTAGCTCTTGGCTTAGTCACATATGAAAGGGCAGCTCTTTCTTGTTATCGGTCTCTAAAACACTGTCCATTTGTAAACATTTATGTTCAAGTGCCTTGTGTACAGCTGCTCAGCTGTTCTGCAGGCTTCTCATCTGCTGCAGGGTCACGTTCAGATACTCATTCAGATAGCTCTTATTTTAAATGCAAGCTTTTTTGTTTCCTGATTTCGCCTTTCTTTCCCCCTGCCCTTCTCCTCCCCTCCTTTTTTTGTCACACACAGACAGCTTCCCAGCCAAGGCTGTAGCCATCAGCCAGCTACATACGTTTACAACAGAAGAGGAACGGGCAGACAAAAGGTGACAGAAGATAATCATCATGGCATCAGCAGGTCTACAGTTCTTTGCTTTTATTTTAGCTTTGTTGGGTGTTTTCGGCGCCATCACAGCCACCTTACTGCCCAACTGGAAAGTAAATGCAGACGTGGGTTCAAATATCATAACAGCTATAACACAGATGCAAGGGCTCTGGATGGACTGCACATGGTACAGCACCGGGATGTTTAGCTGCACTCTGAAATATTCAGTCCTATCCCTCCCTGTCTACATCCAGGCTGCACGGACGACCATGGTCCTGTCTTGCATCCTATCAGCTTTTGGGATTTGCATCTCCACAGTAGGAATGAAGTGCACAAAGTTGGGAGGGGACAAGGACACCAAAAGCTACACTTCTTCTGCTGGAGGGGTCTGCTTCATCCTTGCAGGAATCTTTGAGTTGGTACCAACATCCTGGTACACAAGAGAAATAATTTCAAATTTTATGGACCCAACAGTCCCAGAGAGCAGTAAAAATGAACCCGGAGGAGCTGTTTATATTGGATTCATTTCAGCAGGACTTCTGTTCATTGCAGGTGTGATCTTCTGCACATCCTGTTTTAAAAAGCAGCAGGGAGCATGGATTTACCATACTAAGCAACAACAGTTCCCAGCCACACAGCAAGAGAACAATGCAGGCTACAACCTGAAGGACTATGTGTAAATATAGTAATGTCTATCAGCTGGGGTTTTTTTGTTTACTTTAGATTTAAAAAAAAAACACTTAACTGTTCTTAATGTCAAGGCTGCAATTACATTTTAACAAGGTTTTTTATTTGTAATTAAAATCAGGAAAAAAGATGGCAGGAAATAAAGCATAAATATCTGCTGCAAGCATTTTTTTTTTTTTTTTGCTGATTTTTTCAAACCAAATTCTTTGGCTTTCCAACTGAAATTTACTGAAGAGAAAGGAACCAATTCAAACAGTGCAATTAAACTAATGGTTAGTTACAGCACAGACAGTTAAACACAAAATGAAATCTATTCAGCAAATACAGGATATCAGTAATGTACCAAAATTTGTGATTTATTTATTTTTTAGAATTTCATTTTAATTATGGCACAAACAAAACCAACTCTCCTTCTATGTGAAGCCCCATGCATTGCTTTTAATCACAGCCACATCTGCCTTTCATTTCCAGCTCCCAACTGCCATGGTAACTAGATTTCTTTTTAAAAAACGCAGCCACATTGTATATCGGCATATCAGGAGCTGAAGAGCTAATGCTGCCATTGAGATATTGCCAAAAATGGCCCCAAAAAATCCCCACCTGCTGTGGGTTCCATTTTTTATTTTAAAAGAAATGTCTACTAGGCAGTCTCCAACTGCTGGCAATCTACCACCAAACAACAACTGTTCGGTTTGAGGAGGAAAACGACAAAAGAAGTGTCATCATGACTGAGGAAATACTTGGAAGCTTTAACCCACTGGCTACACATTTAGGCACAAGAAAAATCTGCACCCTCCCTGACTTCTATCTTCCTTCCTCTACAAAGCAAACCACTAGCCTTTAACTAGTGGAGTATTTCACCTTCTGTTATTTATTCATTATTTATTGAAGCCTATCAATTTTTGGCCCTTTTAAAATTTAATTTCACAGAGCCTGATCCAACACCCGTTGAAGTCAATGGATGAAACCCACTGCAATATGCCATATACAGCAGTGGTCAATGACAGCATCTTAGTTTACAAATACTTTGTCAGTTTAATTAACTTGGTGAATGTTTCTAAAGCCTCAGAACCTTCTTTCCAGCATGCAGAACTTATTGGACATTTGTAGGAAATGTCTCATGTCAAATATTGTCCAAGATGTTAAAAAAAAAATGTGAATTTGCTGATGTAAGTGAGGGGATAAAAGAGGAGTGGACCTAGGTTTGAATGTCTGGGGATACGACTCTGGACAAGTTCCTCACAATTCAGTCAGGTACTAGAAGATGTCTTGTTTATTCTTATACAGCTTTTTAGTGCTCAGATTATTAGCTCATGAATCATTAAAATACTATGGTAGAACTTTAGTTTTAAATATATTAATATAGTAAGCATCAAATAAAGACAAATCTGAATGATGTGGAAGGAGTGAAGCTTAATCTTTTGTTATGGGCTTTTATAAAGAGAGAAATGCTTTTGTACACACAACAGTGTCTATCATATATCCATTAGCTCTGAGTTACGAGAACTTGCCTTATATTATATGTTAACAGTGAGCATTTGAATTTTCTGCCTATTTTATGATGTAGTTTGTTTTGTACCATCACTGGCAACTGTGCCAGATCAGCAGTAATTCAGTGGTGCAGACTTAGCCAGAACCACAACTGAAAAAGCCAAAGCTATTTAGGGACAGTGGCCTAGAGCACTGCAACACTCCAAGACAGTTGTGTTGAGTTTATGTTGTAAAAGTGTATACATTTAGAGTTGTATAGTTTTCTTGAAACACCTATATTTTTCTGGAGAACTGATTAATTGAGGTATTATTGTTTCAAAAATATTTGCATGTCAAATTTAGTTGCATGTCCTGTACTTAATCAGGAGCATCTCTAGCTGTAAATTTAAATCAGTATTTTTTAAAAATCACCAGAGAAAACAAGAACCAAAAAAGAAGTCTTGGGAAAGACACAAAAAATATTGATTTGCATGTTGTAAGCAAAACTGAAGACTCCAATTGTTACATAAGCAGCTAAGAAAGACTCCTTTGCCAAGACTACTTATATAGAAGAATCAGAAGTTCCTTATTTACCAATGCAAAATCTAAGCAAGAGCTTTTTGTTTAACTCAAAAGCGCCTCAACAACTTTCCAAGAGGGGAAAAAAAAGGCAGCTCCACATCCAGTATTGGTATCTAATGAAGGTTGTGTGGTAGTCAAACTCTCAAGGATCATGGCAAGAAGTTAGAGGATAAATCTACAAGACAGCAGGAGTCATAAAGCAAAATGTGGCAAAAGGAGTGTGAAAAATAGCTGCAATGTTTTTGTCTGCTGATTTCTGTTTCTTTTGCGCTTGAAATAGTCACTATTTGCTTTAGTTTAGAGAAAAATATTCAATAAATAAAAGCTTAACTTTAAGCATGTCGTCTTTTTTGAAGGGTACTAATCAGAGAAAGCCAGGGGATTACAGGACATCATTCTGATCAACCCATTGCCAGCTAACAGCCTATCAACAGTCTGTGAGCCAGATTCTCAGGTGGTGGAGCTCTATTTAACATAGGAGAGTGGGAGGCAACAGGGATCCAGTTACAGCTACCTGATTCAGGAGGCTGGTTTGCAGTAGCCCCAGTTTTGACTACACCAATGCTGCCATGCCCTCAACTTTGCTGGAGAGGAGGGGATGACCAGCACCAAGTTGAGATTTTGGCCCCAGCTCTAGGTTTTCCTCATTTGCTCTCGGTTCACACATTACTGCTATAAAAGGAAACTAGGACTCACTGATATTACTTTATAAAAACTGAAAGTTGAAGGGAGTAAATGGCCAACAAAACAACAGGTCTTTAAAAAAATAATTGTAGATGTTTAGTGCCCCTGACTGACCGTAGTCTTTTCTCCATGCTGGCAGTAAGAAGTTCCAGGTAGCTTTGAGTGTAATTAGCAATGTGCGACACACAGAGGCTCAAGATGCAGAGGAAATGGAGGGCGGGGGGGGGGGTGAACACAAGTGGGGGAGAGAAGATTAAGAGCAAAGAATCTGGGAGACAACAAGGCTGGAGGAAAAACGAATGCAGCCCAGAAGAGGAGACAAAGACCTAGAAATGGGCTAAGGCAGGGGAGAGCAGTCTCCCCAGAAGAGCTCTGCAGGCGAGTTAGAGAAGTTGGCCAGAGTTTTGAACTCCTTCCTCCTTTCTGAGAAGCACTGATCTGTCGCCACTTCCTTTCTGGCAGTTCAGGGGATCTCCCACTGGGAGGAAGGGGAGAGGATACAGCACTGACCCCAGGGGTACTTTATACAACCTTGTTATCTTCAGGCTGCCTGTACTGTCCCTTGAGCGCCTTCTGCTGGGATATGAAATTACAAGAGAAGGTAGAGCAGGAAGGAAATCAGTAGAACTTGAAAATGTGGCTCTACTGTGAACATGGCATCACAGAACTGTGTTTTTCTCTCTCAAGGATTCCAGGTTAAATCTGCTCAGTTTACAAGTAAAAGTATTTTTTCTTATCGGCCCTGCAAACTCAGCGTGGGATTTGACAGTGAAGCTGTGCAGTTTTTGCTTCATGCACTCTTGTAAGTAGCAGTCTGCTTTCAGTTACACACGTGTAACCCCACTGCTTATAATGGGGACAGGTCCAACTCCCATGGAGAGGCAACTTCACCCATCCCAAGTTGGAAACCACCACTCCTTGCCAGCAAGACCCTCTTATGCCTTTCCAGCTGCTGGTCTCTTCCTGTCTCAGACCAGGAAGAGGCTCAGTCTGCTCCTCAGAAACCAAGGGCAGGGATTTTCTGGATGCCAAGAAGTAGCTATGTTTTAATTTTAAAAAGTGCTGGTGAGAGCAGATAAGTGGGCAGGAAGCATGCTGTTCTCTGCCTACTCGAGGGCGGAGTGGCCAGAGAAGGATAAAAAAAGTGATATTAGTACTATTTTATAACTGGGAGGGAAAAGATGCAGACAGGAGTCGGGGTAGGGAAGAGGAGGGAAATGAAAAATAATATGCTAAAAGTTAAATGGGTTATAGTACTTTAAGTCACAGACAGTAAAAAGAAATAAATATTCCTGAGGGTATTCTGTGCCTAAAAATTCTGCACACAGTATTTTAAAATTCTGAAAATGTTATTTGTCAAATAAATGTGGAGGCTCCAGCATGGCATTGGGGAGCACAGGGTACTAGCTGCACAGAGGTGGGAGATCACTGTGCAGCTTCCGTCCCCATGCCCTGGGGCATGGACTCAGCAGTAAGGCTGCACCCAACCCTGATACAAGGACCAGGTCTGCCCCAGAAACACCCCAGGGCCCTGCCTCTCCATGTGGGCAGGCAGGCTCAGCAAGTTAGGATCCAAGTGTGGAGGGATCCAGGTGTGGGTTAAGAGGGTTCTGTGTGGGGCAATCTGGGTGCAGGGGTGATCTGGATACATGGGGGCTTGTTGGGGGGTTCTGGGTGCAACTCTAATGGGAAGCAGGGGTTCCTGGTAAAGGTGGTTGGGGCTCAGTGGGGGATCCAGATGCTGGGGGAATGGGCCTCAGTTGGGTAGGGAGCAAGGTGCAGCTGGTTGGGGCTTGGTGGGGTGGGGATGCGGGTCGGGTGGTCCAGGTACAGGGGGAATGGAGCTCACTGGGGGGGTGCGGGAGAAGACTTGGCAGGAAAGTCTGGGTATGAGGGGGTCTGGATATGCAGGGGTTGAGAGGATGGGGGAGAAGCTCTATGTATATGGGTCCCTTCCCCTGCAACTGAGGAGTGATGGGTGCAGGAATCGCGGGAGTGGTGGTGCAGAGCTTCCTGCAGCCAGGGGAGAAATCTGGGGGTGGGTCTGACCTGGCCCCAGATGCTGTGCAGGGGAAGAGGAAGTTCCCTCCTCCGCAGCCCATCCAGGACTAGCAGCTGAGCCTGACGCAGGGTAGTAGCCACCAGCCGGGTCTTCCCCAGTCCTGCCCCTGCCTCCACGCGAAACATACTGCTGGGGAGGGTCGCATGACCACTCTTGTGACTTCCCTTTGCTTCCCTGTCAGAAAGTCATTTTTCTGTGGGGGAGAAAAGAAATCTGCAGGGGACAAAAATTCTGCACATGTGCAGTGGCACAGAATTCCCACAGGAGTAAATGAAGACGACTAGAGAGCTCTCAGGTAGATCACTAGCAAAGGGGCAATGAGATAATTGAACAGGATTTAGT